TTTTTTTTAAAAAATGACTTGCCCACAGTCACACAGCTAGTGAGTGTTATGTGTATGAGGCCAAATTTGAACTCAGGTCCTCCTGACTCCAGGGCCTGTGTTCTATCCACTTCACCCCCCCCACAAATTTCTGAACCCAAATCTGATCAACCTCTATTTGGAGGGGATGGGGGGAATAACCCCTTTCTATAACCAGGCAAAGATCTAAAGTTATAGAAAAATTAAAAGCAAAATCTCTCTGGTCCATTTTTCCTGTGGAGTTCACCATCTCTTCCCCAATTTGTCTTTAAACACAGTAAACCCCACCCCCATCCAAACCTACTAAAATGATTTTCTTCTTCAAAGTGCAGCTCAAGGATGACCTTCTCCACAAAGGCTCCCTCTACTTGAATTCACCACCACTACCCTCAAAAAAAGTATGTCTACTATGTGCTTATAGCCAGCTGTTGAAGATACAAGGAAAGAAAAAAAAAATTAGTCTCTACCCTCAAGAAGCTAACATTTCTACTCATAGCATATATGACTCGTACACAAATAAATATTTTTAAAAACAAGAATCAATAAGGGCCAATGTATCTGAAGAATATCCTAGGAATATCTGAAAAGCTTCCGTGTGTAAAAGGAATTCGAATTCTCTGCTTAGCCCCAGACAGCAGAACCAGGAGAGATGGGAAGCTGTCAAGAGGCACATGGAGGCTGGCTGTCAGGAAAAACTTCCTTACCATCAGCAACATCCCAAAGTAAATAGGCTCCCTTGGGAAAGAGGAGAAGGAATCCTGAGCACTGAAAATCTTTAAGTAAAAACTGGACAATCACTTTTTGTAGATGTAGATGAGATTCTTGTACAGTGACAGGGCTGGACTGAACACGGTCAGTTGGGTCACTGTTTCCCTTCTCCTTAGTACTTGCCATATTCTAACTTGGGTGCTATTGATACATGAACAGATCTCATTCTCGCCCCTACCATTCATTTCTAAGCTCTTTTAGGGAAGAAACTGCCTTTTTTTTTTTTAATCTTTCTATCTAGCATGAGGCCTGTCCATAGTCACTTCAGTTTGCTGAATTGGGATATCCCAATGTAATTCAAGGCACAACATGACCATCTCCAGTTTTTCAATCTAGCCCTGGATGGCAAACAGGGAGTCTTGGCATTCCTAAATGTACCACAGTAACTGGAATCTTTCAATATGCAATGAAACATTATTTCACATAGTAAAGAGGCCAGGCAGGCATCTTGTAAAGAAGAGGCCTGCCTTGGGTAGTCAGGGGGTATGGGTTCTAATGCTGACTTTACCCCAACTACTTGATTTGTGGTGAGATCTTACATAACTTGTGACTTTTCTGGGCCTCAGTTTGCCTGCCTGTAAAATGAGAGGATTGAACTAGATAATTTCTAAGGTCCCTTTCATCTCTGTCAATCTATGTCCCTCTAGGTGAAGAGGTGATTTTTTTTCTGAGCTGCACCAAAGTCTATCCTTGGATGCAATTCTTCCAGCTGGGTCTGTGAGTAAGACAACAGGAGAATTTGGAGGGAAGAAGCAAGATGTCCAAAATATCCCCAAAGCAAGAAGTTGAAATCGTTCCCATAAGCTTTAGAGAACAGTCCCTGTTTCTTGACAAACACTAGCTCCCAGGCAGAAGTTCAAGATTGGGGGGGAGGGGGGAGATAGAAGGTTACTCCATCCTCCTGAAACTGCCACCTCCTTCAGAACACCCCCGTGCTGAGGATGAGTTTAGGTCCTTGGGCAGCAAGCCAGCCCGCCAGCTTTCCTCTCCTTTCCCCTCCTCCCCTCACCCCCAATCCGGCACTTCCCACTGGCAAAATGAGATGCAACCAGAACCAGTTGGGGCAGTTTGGGCAATGAGGCTGTCACCTCCTCCCCCTCCTCCTATTACTGACACTCGCTCCTCTCCTGAGAAGGAGGCCAGGATTTGGCAAAGGGGGCACAAAGTGGAGGGGCCAGAGCAGGTAGGGTGAGAAGCAGCACACCTGCACGGCCTGGCTAGACCTGGGTTAGGCTAGTTACTTAAGCTTGCCAAATTCCTAGGACAGGAGCCCCGGGAGCCCTCCTTACACCTCCATACCAACCTAGAAAGCCCAAAGGCAACTTCAAAACCAAAGCACCACTCCTGGCCTGGCACAGCAGCAGGGAGGGGGAAGTAACTCGAATGACAACACGACCTTACAAACCGAAAGAAGACTACTTAGCCTCCAGCACCCGGCAAATCCCTGTCCACCCCCCACCCCCACCACCATCCGCAATATTCCCCTCAAAACCTAAGTAAATCATAGCGCTGGGCAAACCCAGACACAGATAGGGCTTCACGCGAACGCCTCACCTCCATTAAGGAAAGCGAAGAGAGAGGTGGGGGAAAGGGTTTGTGTGTTGATGCTTTCTGTCGTGAGTAGAGTGGGCCCGAATGGTGAGGTAACAAGGGTGGAAGGAGGAGGAAGAAGGGCGGCAGAGGACGCGGCTCATTCCCAGCAGGGGAACACTACATCGGCTCCCACTTTAAGCCCTGCTCGCCCTTTTCCTCTCCACTCCACACACGGGTCTGCCCCCTGTCTGTCCCTCCCCCACCTTGCCTCCCTCCCTCCCTCCCTCCTCTCCCCGCCCTATCCTCGCCAGCGCTGGGAGCCCGCCACTCTGTCCTCCCCGGGGACTCTGCCCTGGGCCAGACTCAGCTCCCGCCTCTCCCAAGCCCCCAGCCCGGTTGGGCCCCTAACCCTGGCGTGATCACTGTCCCGCGCGGGGAAAGTTAAAGCAACTTCATAGGAGGAGGAGATGGGAGGGAAAGCGGGAAGGAAACTCAGGCCCTGGGCCTCCCTCCTTGCCACCTTCCTAGCCCCAGCTCCCTCCCTGCGCCTGGCCCTGGCCTCCAGGGGGCAATCCCCCATCCCAAGCTGTCAGTTGCACGAGGATCTGGCTTGCCCCGGACTCAGGTTGGGGGAGGAGGGAGAAGAAGGAGCGCGAGTCCTAGGCCCAGCAAAACCACCGAACTTTCCCCGCGGGGCGCCCGGCGAGCAGGGTCCTGCCAGGAGGCTCCTCCTGCAGTCCAAACCGCGACCGGGCTGTGCTCGGGCAGGCGAGCTGCGCGGTAGCCGGGGAGCAGTGGGCCAGACCGGGCCGGACCTGGCCGGGCCGGACCTCAGTGCCCAGCGCGGAGCAGGGCAGCCGCGCTGTTTCCGCCGCCGCAGCCGCCGCTGCTGCCAGCCTGCCCGCCCGCTGCTCCCCCAGGCTTTGTGCGCGGCCTGCCCTCCCTCTCTCTTCCTCCCGGGAGCCAGCCCGGCAGCTGTCTCCCGGCCAGGGTGGCTTGCCGGGAGCGCGGCGGGCGGGCAGGGCCGAGGACAGCCAGCCTCTCAGCCACCCTCACCCCCTGGCCCTGGCACAAAGGGGAGCCCCGCCCGGGGGCCCCCAGCGTGGGCAGGAACTGCCGCCGACCCCCTGGTCCTCTCCGCGGCCAAAAATACACTAGCTTAGGCGCAGGGGCCCGAGGCCGGAGTCTGGGGACAGCCTGGCGACTAACTCCTCCTCTCTCCCCGGGAAGGAAGGGCCTGTGGCGGCCACGGAGGAAAAGGGGAAAACACTGCTCTGGAGCAAGCGCCACACCAGGCGAATTCCGGATTTATTTATTTTTACCCTGGGCATGGGGGCGGCGGGAGCAGGGGGCCCGGGCTCGGGCTTGGGCTCGGGCAGGATCCGGGGCTACGGAGCGGGGAGGAAAGGGAGACAGCTCGGGGACAGACAATACATGTAGCTGGAAAATCCGTCATCCCCCGCCGGGGATCGGGGGAGCGGAGCCGAGGCAAGGCTAGGCGAGGGAAGGCGAGGGGAGGCGAGGGGAGGCAAGGGGAGCCCTCAGGCGGGGAGGTGGAGGAGGGTGGGCGCCCCTGCGCCCGCGCCGACCCCGCAGCCTCGGCCCGCTGTCCCCAACCTTCCCGAGGCCCGGCCCGGCCGGGCGCGCTTACCTGCCGTGGAACCAGTCCTTACAGGCATCGCACTCGATCATAAAGCGAGTAACATCGTAGGGCAGCCGGCAGATGCAATAGACAGGCACCGTCGCCATGTTAGCTGCCGCTGTTCCTGCAGCCGCCGCCGCCGCCGCTCCTCGCTCCTCCGACAGCCGCCGCCGCCGCCGCCGCCGCCGCTAGTCCTCCTTCTTCTTCTCCTCCTCCTCCTCCTTCTCCTCCTCTTTCTCCTCCGCCTCCTTCTTCTCCTCCACCTCCCGCGCCGGCTCCCGTTGGCAAAAACCACAGCCCCAGTGTCCAGGCAGCGGCGGGCCAGGGGCCGGGGCCGGGGCCGGGGCTGCCCCCGCTGCTGCAGCCGCCGCTGCCGCCGGTCAGGCCGGCTGCTCCTGCCGCCGCCGCCGCCGCCGCCGCCGCCGCTTCTCCTCCTCCTCCTTCTCCACCTCCTCCTTCTTCTCCTACTCCTCCTTCTCCTCCTACTCCTCCTCCTCTTCGCCTCTGAAAGGGGGGAGGGCAAAGGGAAAAAATCCACAAACAGGCTCCCCCCTCCCGTGCACACGCCAGCCCCCGGCGGCAGCGGAGGGGGCTGTGTCTATACAATGCGAGGAGGATCCGAGGGAATCGATCCGTGCGGCGGCTTCCGCGAGGAGTCCATGCCCAGATTTTGTCAAACTGCCGCGGCCGGAGCCCTCCCCCCGAGCCCGCGCGGGCACCAGGGGGGTGGGGGTGGGGGGGGACCGTGGGGTCCGGGCTGCAGGAGGGCTGGCGGCGTGTGGGTACACAAAAGGAAAAATGGATCTGCAGCGCGCGGGCAGAGGTGGGCGGCTGGGCTGCAAAGTTTTCCCGGCCGGGGTGCCGGGGCTGGGGGTGCAGACAGGGGCCCCGGCGACGCGGCGCGGTGCAGGGCCGGCGCCTGCGGTCCGTTTTCGCTCGCGTTCCGCGGAGCGCTGCTGTCACGCCGAGACTGAGCTGGCGGGCTGGCGGGCGGAGGAGCAAGGAAAGGAAGGAGCGGAGCCTGGAGCCCTCGCCTCCCAACCCCACCGAAGGGAGCCCCCTTCGGCCGCCGCCGCTCAGTTCCTTACGTCAGCTTGCAACATTGTAGCGTTTCCTCTGTAGAGGCTGGACGCTCCGGGTCCTGGAGGGGGGGCAGGCAGATGGAAACTCCCACGGGGCGACCCCTTCTACAGCCCCACGCAAATGCCTCGGGAGGGCCCGGCCAGGGTCAGGTCCGGAGGGGCCATGGCTCCCTTTGGCTATCTCTGGCTGTATCTGTCAGCCCTCCTCTCCTTCCTTCCCCACCTCTCTGTTTTCGGAACTGAAGCTGCTCCTCTCCCTACCAAAAGGGGAGTGGGGGAGGGAAAGAGACAGGGAGAGAGAGGAAAAGAGGGAAGAAGGGAGGGAGCAAGTGAGTGGCGGGAAGCTAAGAAACCTAGGCGGGCAGCAGCCCCGGAGTAACGCGGGAGAGAAGAGAGACAGACCCCCGAACCGAAGGAAGAGAGTCCGTTCTTCGGAAGACAGAAAAGTACTTCGCCCCAACTTTTTTTTTTTGCATGGGCTGGCTTTCCTACCAGGCATCGGAGAGTGGGCAGAGTTAGGGAAATTCCTCCTCTTCACCCATAGCCTGGCCTTCTCCCCCACCCCCCATCTTCCCCATCTCCTCCCCTAGAAGAGATTTTTTTTTCCTTTTAGATTCTAGTAAAACTTTCTTTCCTTTTAGCTCTACTCCCTATTCCCGACAAACCTCAACATAACAGAACCCCCATCCCAACCTAATAGATGGGGATGAGAAAAAGCTATTCTTAAGGACCTGGAAGGAGTGCCCCGGCACAGCCTATACACATGGGCCCCAGAGAGCATGATCCTGGATGCCACTGGCATCTCAACTGCAGAAGACCAGACTCTCTCCTGGATTTCAGTGGATCAGCAAGTATCTATTAAGTGCTTACTGTGTGCCAGGCACCGTGCTAGACACTGAGGATACAAAGATTGAGCAGAGCAGTGTCTGCCCTCGAGAAGCTCACAGATTAATGGAAGACAACATCCATAAATCAGAACATTACAAAATAGATTCCAAATGGGATGACCCAGAATCAATGCCTTATTCCACTACTTACTATAATTGTGTGATGGAGAAGTCACCAAACTACTCTAGGCTTCAATTTCCTCCTTCACAAATGAAGAAGTTGAACTAAATCACCTCAAAGGCCCCGCCTAACTCTTTAACAGTCCACTGCTCTATCAACTGGGGTCTACTCAGAGACCCAGTTTCTGTCTGCCTAGGACCCTCATCATCTCTCAAAATCTTGGACTTCCAGGCTCAAGTCAGATGCCACCTCTTCTACCAAGCCTTCCTTGATTTCCCCTCATCCTTATTTCAGAGAGTTCCTTTCCTTGTCCAATTACTTTTTATTTACTTATCTGAGCAAGTTAGAATACAGCCTCCCTCAGAGGAGGGATCATATTTAGTTGTTATTGTATCACCAAAGACCTAGCCCTGTGCCTTCTATTTAGCAGGCCTTGTTTGCTGTGAGTATGATCAGTTTATCCCAAAACCATTGAACGAGTACCTACAATGGGCATTGTTCTCTGTGAAAGATGATATAACTAAGACCTGATCCCTTCCTTAGGGGAACTCACGATCTAGTCAATTCAACAAACATTCATTATTCTTTTCGATTCAACACACCTAAGAAGAGCTGGACCAGAAGAGCTTCAGACAAGCAGTTATCAACCCTGAACCCCAGGCCATTAAATAGGGAACAATAAATAAAACCCTCAAAGGCCACTGTAACCTAATTGCATCTTTCTGCATCATAGTACCTCTATCTTATAAGGATTCTCTAATGACACTTTTCTCTCTTATTTGCAGAGGTGAAAGACTATGGGTGGGGAACACTGCAGATATTTTTTCCGTGTATTAATTATTTTTTGCTGAACAATTTTTCTCTTTTTCTTTATTATAAAATGGCTCTCTGGGAGGAAGTGAGGAAGGAATACATTGGGAAATGTGGTTGATGTTTTAAAAAATATAAATCAATAGATTGTATTTTTAAAATATAAGTAAAATAACAACAAAAGATTCTCTGTAATCTGAGGGAGGTTCCATGGTACCTTGGAAAGATCAAAGGATTTCAAGTTGGAATACCTGTAGTTGGAATCCTACCTCTGCTACTTTTTGCCTTTGGAACTTTGAGTAAATCTCATCACCTCTCTGAGCATCAGTTTTCTCATCTGAAAAATTAGGAGATTGGAATTTCTAAGGTCCCTGCCAACTCTGAATCTATGAACCTATGAAGTGAAGGTGGATAGAGCAGAACCATAAAGATTTGCCATGGTTAGCTGCTTCTACATTAAGGGACCGCAGAGCATGGAATATAATATTCCAGAGAACAAAGGAGATAGGATTACAACCAAGAATCACC